TTTGGGATTCCCCTCTGTTCTTACGTCACCTTTCTGATTGGCTACCTATCACATTCAGCAGGTTGTATTCTCGTTCCCAGTCAGGGTAAACCCCACAGGCTGCGATAAAAGGGCCAAGACAACCCAAATTGGGCATATTCAGGCTTTAGCGGGAACACCAACATGCAGAAGCCTTATCTGACTGTTCATCCCACCCGGGCCGCAGCAAAATTTGCAAGTCTTGACCGGTCCGCGGTAATAAAAAGGTTGGGGACCACTGTGTGATGATCTGTTCGTGAACAGCATTAGCTTCAGTTCACACTCCAGACCAGATGGTGGCTTGATTGCACACTTTCAGTTATTTTGAAAAGCGCCATAGAAAGAAAAGAAGAAGAAGCCATGAGCCAGAGAAGATAACAGATGCTGTTCAAATTTGCCATTTTTACTCACAGAATATTGACTGAAAAATAGAGAGCCTTGATAATAGTAGTTTTGATAAATTCAAGCTTGTGACATCCTAGTCCGAGTTAGACGACAACACAACTGGACAAGAACCGGATGGAAATGAAATGTGGGTCATGAAAGGAACCGTAGGGACGAAGGCTGCTAACGGGTTGCTAGCTGATGGTAAGTTTGCCTCAAAATGCTAATTATTGTAAGATGATTTATTTTTCCTTTTCAATTAATATGGTTTTATGTGAGATAAAACCACATAAACATCCCCAGGTTATTTGCTGGGGATGTTGCATGGATGAGTGGGGGCGCTGTGCCTTCCAGAGGATAATTTCTTTCTTCTTCGAGGGTTTTTTTTTCTCTCTCTTCGTTGGGGGCTCTTTTTTATGAGGGGCGGAGACGTTAGGCTGTTCGGTTAGACGGTTGAATAAAAGTCTGCAAAGCTACGCTATTCCCTCTCAGTGTCTGCTCTTTCTCTACCCACGACCTCTTATTTTATGGTGACACAGATTTAGATATCACTACGCAGTGTTACATTATCTTCGTTTAATTATAAACTGTGTAAATGACTTTATTAGTATTTTTTTGTTTCCTCATCTAAGAGGTGTTTGTTGTTTTACGGCCGATTATTTTATTTTGAAAGGGCTTTAAAGGGCAAGTTTGCTAAGTGACTGACACAAAACTGCAGACAATAACTGACAATGGGCTCTTTGCACTATGGCGTTGACGTCACATCTGCATGAGCCAATGCGCTTACTTGTTTCCACTTTAAGTTACCATGACAGTTAGAAAAGACTAAGTCGTATTTCAGACGCAAAAAAAGCAATACTATGAACTTGTTGTCTTCCTAATGTAATGGGCTTTTAAGTTTTCATTAATTTCCAAGCGATCCTGAATTAAGATGATGGTGGCTTGTAAATTTTCGTCGCTACCAGTTAAAGCTAACGCCACACAGCAAAGTTTGCAGCCTTCACTTCACTCCGGATCAGCTTCTTCAGCCTAAAACTACCGGAGGGAGACGGATGGTAAATAAAGGAGCCTCCTGAGTTATTTCCATGGAATCACTTCTGTATTAAGCCTGAAAGAGCGAGTTTATGGGAACAAGAGAGCAGACCAGAGCCAGACAGCCGAGCAACTGATCCACCTGTACACACTGCTGTAAACACCGTCCTATTCAAGCTATTCACAAGAAACATGCAAAGGTAATAAAACGAAATAACACAGAGACCTTGAGGAACACGGTCATGTTTTTCTAAAAGCAACAACTTTGAACCTGAACTGTCAGCTGAACCAGAACTCTGACACTAGAGCTGCACTACTGTTAAGCTATGAAGCTTGTTGTCCTTCGGCATGCTTCAGAAGTAAAGAGCCCAAACCGCAATCTCCCCCGTTAGTCTCTGACACTAACGACAATAAACACACATAATATACTTGAAAATAAGAAAAACATTGTCGTTAGAATGTTTAGATACTTAAATAGCACATTTTTACAAGAACAATGTCGATTGCCTACTAGCATAAGCTAAGGTTAATGTTAGCCACAAAGTTTAAGTAAAACTCACCTTCGTGTCAGTGAATGTATAACGAGGCGAACATCTTAAAACCTTTCTCCAGCTGACTTGTTGGGGCTTCGGATCGATGTACAAACCTTGGCCAAGCACTGCAAGCACCTAATGTAAATGATATTTGTATTGGATCGGAAACAATCGAGCCGCTTTACCCCGAACGCGGAAGCTGAGGTGCAAAGAGTCCATATAAGCATAGACGCCTCATGGACCGCTCCGGCGCAGGAAATACGGCGGCCATCTTGGAGCGGTATTCCCTCCTACTTTGCTCAACCAAAACAGCAGAAGATGCCTCAGCACTGAGGGATGTTGTTGTTCTGATCTATGGATTAATGATGTGAGGGCTCCACAGACAACATTTCACAAGTAAGATGGACATATTATTGTGTATATATTGTGATTAGAATATTACTTTACTGTATTTATGTCCACCAGCGAGATACCAGCTAATATTAGCTACAGTGCTTGGTGTAATACGGGTTCAGCAACTGAGATTCCGTAAATCTAAAAAAATTAATTATTCTCTAACATTGACTTAGATTATCTGACACAAGAGCCTGTATTAGAAATGAAACAACATAACACATATTATAAAACTTATATTATGTGTTATAACACTCACCGGCAAAGTTTACACAGGTGGAAAGACTATTATTTATATTCTTTCACTCTGTCAAAAGTAAGATACATCCCAAATATTCCGTTTTTGTTTTGAAAGTTTCCTAAAGACACGATGTGACAAAGAAGAGGGAGATATCTATAAAGAGAGACGGATTCACTGCAGCACGGATGAATCTCACATCGGATTGTGGACTCGTCGGCTGAAAAACATATATATATATACACACATATATATATATATATATGTATATATATATATGTATATATATATATATATATATAAATACATGTTTATATATATATATATATATATATATATATACATGTTTATATATATATATAATTCAGTATTAATCATTATTTATTTGTGCCATTATTAATCTTTATTTATTAGTGTTTGTATAGTTATATAAATATATATTGATATTACTAAATAATTTATTAAATAAATTATGAACGGCTGTGTGCTTTGTAATATGCTCATCATACATCAATATCAGAATATCCCATTCCTATTCTATTGTTATAGCCACTAAGCATATTTAAATATGCTGAACTACTGTATGTATTAAAAACATACTTAAAAAT